GGTATGGGCTGGACTAGATGGCTCCTAAGATCCCTGTGAGGCAGCATGATGTAATAGATGCCATGCTGTACTTAGAGTCAGGAAGGTTTGGGTTCAAATCCCACCTCTGACACTTAACTTCTATGAGTCTCATTTCTTTATTGGTAAAATAGGAATAATGCCTATGGTATCTACCTCACAAGGCTATTATGAAGCTCAAATGGGATAACATAAGTAAAGTCCTTTGTAATCCTTGACATGCTATATAAATGCTATCATCATCATCATCACCACCATCATCACTGTCATCATTACCATTATCACCACCATCACCATCATCATTACCATTATCACTACATCATCACCACCCTCACCACCACTATTACCACCATCATCACCATTACAACTCTCAGATTCTCAGATGACCCAGGAAAGGGAAAATGTCATCACAGCACACAGCTCTCCTTGGCTGTCTTCCCATGGGATAATATATTGGGGAAAAGCAGACAGAAATGTGTCCACACCAGGGTTGTGCCCTAGGGATTCCCAAGCAATACAGCCACATCCTTCATAGAAAAGGTTAGGTTTACTTGGATCTGAATCCTGAGTCCACAAATAACCATATCTGCCAAAAGGCTCTACAATAGAATTTGGCCTGATTAATACCCACAGGCTGCAGTCACTGCTCTTCTCTCTCTCTCAAGCTAATAATGGCTAGGCAATGCAGCTCTCCTGTGGCTAATAGCTCTGTTTCTTTCCAAGCCATGGTGCCGACTTGAGCTCCTTTTCCATTCTGCCATTAATATGGTTTCTGGTTCTGACATAAGGTCCCTCATTCTCCTTTTCTACTTTTATAACACCCACATATTCATGCACTAGAGAAAATTTGAGCTCCATCTTCCCAGCTCTGGTCTTTCTTGGGTACTTGAATTAAAAGTGTCTTAGTTTCCTACATCCATAACACACATGTCCCTTTGAATCTCCATTTTTTTTCCTTCCTCCCAGCTTTCACAGTGGGGACTACTGGCTCTTTGCCAAGTAAATCTTCCTTTCTTTCCTGTTGGTCATGCCCATCTTCTCTTATCTCTCTTGGAAGGTCAGGCTCACTTGCTCTCTGCATGAAAGACAGTCTGGTGCTTCTGCTCAATTACTAATTGTCAGATCTCCTGGGAGAGAAGATATAGTATATCAAGGGATATCATGTCGAGGTCTTTTTCCATAGCATTCACCTTAATTGCTTGGCACCATTTGACTGCCAAATCTCTTAATACCATAGTGATGAAAGACCGACTCATCTCAGGTTATAGTGCATAGTTTGGTCCAGAAATAATTCTGGTTAAATTTGATCCTTGGGAAGACCTCATATAGGCTGCTATTTTAAAGTTTTCCCAGGAGGCGCTTCTTTCTGGAAAGAGGTCTGACATTTCTTTTGTTGAAATGCCCTGACATGTGGGCATGGGGAGAACTGCAGAGAATGGGGGGGTCTTTAGGATGCGCTAATATTTGAGACTTCTTAGAAAAGACATTTTCTATTTAATTTCTATTAAATAATTCCTGAGGGTTTTTCTGCTACTCTGTTGCCTGTCAAAGGAATGTAAGAAGATATGGGGCATATTTGTTGTTGTTCAGTCATTTTTTAGTTGTGTCTGACTCTTTGTGACCCCATTTGAAGTTTTCTTGGCAGAGATACTGAAATGGTTTGCCATTTCTTTCTCCAAGTTATTTTATGGACGAGGAAACTGAGGCAAACAGGGTGAAGTGACTTGTCCAGGGTCACACAGCTGTGACACACACACACACACACTATCTGAGGCCAGCTTTGAACTCAGGAAAATGAGTCTTCCTGACTGCAGGCCTGGCATTCTATCCACTGTGCCACCTAGCTGCCCATCGGATGTATTAACATCTCCTTATTCAGAAATATCCTTTGCCTTGATTTTCCTCCCATTTTTCTTTCAGTTAGCTCAGTCAGCGCAAGCTTCCTCTGTAGCTCTGCTTGTCACATTACCTCATCCTCTTCTTCCCTTTGCAAGATTCTCTCCCTCACAGCCATGATTAACCCTTGACACTCCATCTCCCATCTCTGTCCCTTTGTTAAGGCTGCACCCTATGCATGCACTCCCTTCTCATCTCCTTGTTTTAGAATTCTTTGTTTATTTCAAAGCTCAGTTCAAATGCCACTATTTACAAGAAACCTTTCCAGATCCCCTAGCTGCAAGTGCATTCCTCTCCCATCCTTTATATATTTTGTGTGTATTTATATATGTACATGCCTTGAGGATAGGGATGGTTTCATTTTTATCTGTATCCTGAGTGCCCACCATAGTGCCTGGCACATATAACAAGTGTTATTATGTACTTGCTGCTTGATTCATGAATTGAGGTTCTGATACTCCTCAGTCTGGGTATATCTATCTGTTCCTCAGTACTTAGTCCAAAGCTACCCTCCTGGGCTCTTACTTGAGCCCCTGGACCTTCCTCCTCCTGCTTCTCTGCTTTCACCAACGTAGTGTCTGCTGTCGCCTGAGGTTTTGTGTTTCACAAGTTATCCTTGGGGCTTGTCCAGGGCTGGTTCTGGCTGTTGTCACTGAGTAGTCCCCATCATCCTTAATATCCTCAGCCTCAGTTGGATAACTGGGCTTCTAATCTCTGTGACCTTTTGGTCAAGTTTCTCCTAAGACTTTTCTTCTGGAGTTCCCTGCTATTTGGGGGTCTCCTCCATCTTGGAGCTGCTCCCATAAACTTCCCTAGTTGTGTCTTTAAATACCTAGAGTCCCAGTTGCTTGCCTCTCTCTGCACTAGTTATAGTTTCAGCATGTTCTGTGGGTCTCCATGGGCAGTACAATCATCTGTTGCTATCAATCAATCAAACAATAAACAATCAAGTTCTTACTAGATGCCAGACACTTTACTGGAGGCTAGGAATACAAATGCAAAAGCAGGACAATCTCTGCTCATTCACCTGGGGAAAGCAACATGTAGATATACAAGTAAACACATAGCATATGCAAAATCATTTCAATAATTAGCAGCTGGGGGTATCAGGAAAGGCCTCATATTAGGAGGTGGCATTTGAGTTTCATTTTGAAGGAAGTGGGGGATTCTAACAGGCTAGCATGAGAAAGGAGTGCATTCTGGGCATGGGGACAATCTGTAAACTCATGGAGTTGGGAAATGAACTTTTCTGTATGAGTGCAGCAATTGGGTGAGGTTGGGGTGGGGGGACTGTAGAGTGTCAAAAGGGAAATAGTATGTAATAAACCTGGAAAGGTAGGCTGAAGCCAGAATGGCTTTAAATGCTAAACATGAGTTTGTATTTTCTATTTTTTCCTTAGAGGCATTAGGGTACCGCTTGAACTTTTTGAGCAGGGGAATGACAAGGTCAGATCTGTGTTTTGGGAATATTACTTTGGCAAGTTGTGTAGAGGATAGATTGGAATGAGAAGAGAGTCTTGAGGTAGGGAGACCAATTAATTAGAAGGCTATTGTGTTAGTCAAGCCATATAGATAGATGATGAGTACTATGGTGGTGGCCATTTGGGTGGAGAAAAAGGGATGGATTTGAGAGATGTGGAAGCAAAATCCATAAGACTTGGTAATTGGTTGGATATGGTGAGGTAGAGTGAAGTGTCACCTAAAGTCACTATGATCTTCTGGAGCTCTAGTCGTCCCTTAGGGGCCACAAGGATGGACTTGCCTCCTGTCCTGTTATCACTACCTATTGCATCTGGCCAGGGTTCTTCTCTCCTCTGATTTCTGGCAGGTTGGGGCTACAGGTTCCTAACTTCTCCCATCTCTCCTCTTCCTGGATAATCTCAGAATTCTTTTTGAGGTATTCTTAGAGTTTTTATTGCTTATAACCGCAGGGAGTTGGACAGGAGGTAAAAATAACAGACATGAGGAAAGTTACAGAGTTACAAGATCTTAAAAGTTGTTGTTTATATAGCCCTTGCAAAGTACTTTAAATACATTTTCTCATTTGATTGTCACAACAACCCTGTGAGATAAATAGTGTCTTCATGTTACCAATGAGTAAATTAAGACTCATTGAGGTTGTTAAATGAGGCTGCAAGGTCACAAAGCTAGCAGGTGTCCGAGGTGGGTGGGATTTAGGTCTCTCCTGATTTCAAGTCCAGTACTCTTGCCTCTATGGCATTTTGGACTCTTAGAATACATACCTCTTTCCCCTTTCTCCCTCTCTCTTTCCCTCCCTCTCTCCCTCCCCCTCCCTCCCCCCTCTCCTGCTCTTCCTCCCTCTCTCCCTCCCTTCTTCCTTCCTCTCCCTTTCT